TAAAGATATAGCCTCCATAAATAGCACACTAGTGTTTTCGTTAATGCATCTCTTTCTGACAGAGACAGATCTAGATTCAGTGGTAACAGAGATCAATATATTAAAGAAAATACAGAAGTGATCAGATAGTGCTACGTCCTTAATAACAATGGATGAAATGTTTAGACCTCTACTGATGATTAAATCTAGAGTATGTCCACGATTGTGTGTGGGTTCATGCACATGCTGAATCAGGTCAAAAGTGTTTAAAACAGTTATAATTTCTTTTGTAGTTTTGTTTTCTGCATTATCTATGTGAATATTAAAATCCCCTGCAATAGCAAAACAGTCAAACTCTGAGGAAATCATTGATAGCATTTCTGTGAACTCTTCAGCAAAGGCTGGAGAGTATTTTGGAGGCCTGTAAATAATGATAAACAGAATGCGTGGAGCACCTTTCAACACAATCCCTAGATATTCAAAAGACAAGTACTGACCAAATGATACTTGCTTGCATTGATAGACATCTTTAAATAGAGCAGCTACACCTCCACCTCTCCTAACAGTCCTGCAAACACTCATGAAAGTAAAGTTAGGAGGGGCTGTTTCATTGAGGACCGTTGCACTACAGCTGTCTTCTAGCCATGTTTCGTTTAGAAACATAAAATCCAGGTTGTTTGTGGTTATTAAGTCATTGATTAGAAATGATTTATTTTTTAGTGAGCGAATGTTTAAAAATGCTAACTTGATGGCATTGCATTTTGTCTCAACAGCAATATTAGTTTGATGCATAACAGGCCGCAGATTAGATAAGTCAGCCGTACGGCTTAAGAAGGCCTTAGACTTTCTATCACGTGATAAAACAGAAATAGAGAAAACTACAGGCACACTGGGTTCCCGCTTGTTCTGTAAACATTTGTGAATGTTGCTGCTATTATAGCGGGGACCCGACACATATCACTGAGAGCTGCTATCAGTTGTTTTTGGTTCACCTACAGCAGATGGAGGGTTTGGGCCCTGGCGCTGTGGCAGCGGCCGGAGAGCTCTCACAGGAGGAGGAAGACGAGCTGGGCCCACAGGCTTTGGTGGTTGTGGGGCCCGCCGTTTTTTAGTTGATATCTGGGGGCTTGCAGCAAAAGAGTGGGAGAGTCTGGTCCCAGCATAAACCAGTTCCTCCATTTTCTGTGAGAAGCTTAGAAGTGGAGATGTTGGAGAGAGGAATAATGTGTCTGGTGAGCGGGGCTCTAGCTCTGTTGTTTCCGGTGGCTGTGATATGTTGTCCTGGCTTCCCTGGCTGTTTTCCAGAAAGTCGTCCTTGGGTGCTGAGTCTTGGAGCTGTTCTGATACGTCACAGTCTGTCTGTGATGAGCTCTGTGGGAAGGGCTCAGCCGGGATGGTGTCCATGAGCAGTGCTTGTTGTGGCTGCGTGGTGTTATCAGTGTCCTTGTGGGATGTGTCAACCACATGATGACTCGGAAGCTGATATGAAGTCCTGTGGTCACTCATACTCTGTCCAGGTGTGTGTGTGCCATTCAGGTTGAGTAGTTTGGCACACACTACTGAAGGATGACGGATGGAGAAGTAGATGTTGTCCTTTAGCACTCTTGCACCAAGTTTGTTTAGGTGGAGGCCATCCAGTTTAAACAGTTGTCTATGGCCCCAGAAAAGATTGAAGTTATCGATGAAATTGACTCCTTTTAAGCTGCAGATTCTTTGTAGCCATGTGTTCAGCCCAAGCAAACGTGAAAACATATTAGTTCCTCTTGCTGGGAGTGGCCCACTGATGAACGACTGAACTTTAAGTCTTCGAAGTGTTTCAAAGAGTTCAATGAAGTCCTTCTTAAGGAGTTCTGACTGCTCTTTCCGAATATCATTCTTCCCCACATGGATGATGATTCGATTTGCAGTCTTGTGCTTCATTAGAATTTTCCGAAGTTCCTTGTTCAAATCAGAAACTGTTGCTTGAGGAAAGCAGAAAGTTGCTGAATTTCTGCTACTGATGTTTCTGATAATGGAGTCGCCCACTATCAGAGTCCTGGGCTCGGCTGCGCTCTGAGCTGAAAGCCGCTGTCTGCTCGACCTTGAGCGTCTGTTAGTAGCGATGTTAGCTGCTGGCTGATCCGATCCATGTTTAATCACATTTGGGGATTCCTCACCCACATTCATTAGTGCTTCAAATCTGTTTTCAAGATGTTCACAAGCCTTGTCATAGCCGTATCTGGGGTAGAGGATGCTACGGCAGCAATACGAGAAACTCGTGACAATCTGATCTCTCTACTGCCTTTGGGTCTCGCTCCCTCTTTGTGCCATCGATTAGTGTGACAATCAGTTTCGGCGTGTTCCTCTACACTTGGTATAAACTGTTGAGATTCACTAGATTCATGGGACTCACCGGCTGTATGCTTAGGGGGTCCATGACGACGGTCTGCTGAGTGTTCTGCCTGTTTTGGAAGTCCAGCAAGTAACTTTGTTTCAAGAACCGCAATCCTTTGTAGAAGTTTGCAGTAGTTCATGCAGCAAGTAGATTCAACAGGAGGCATTATTATCTCTCGTCTGTTATAATGTAGATAGTTGTGTTTTCCCTTCTCCGGAATGTAAGCTGCTGGCAGTGGGAGGCAAAAGTCTTCTTTTTCGTGGTATTATTCCAGTCCCAGAGAGTTTTTTGTTTTAGTGTTTGTGCCAAAAATATGTTGTTTGAGCACTGTGCTGATCTGCTGAAGTAAAAATCTTAGAAAAATCAGAGAAAAGTACAGAAATAGGGAGCAAAGCGCAGAGCAGTAAGCAAGAACGTCCGAACGGTAGCGAAGCCGGAAGCTAAAAGATTGAAAATTTTAATATTTTTTTATTTTATTTATATTTATTTAAGTTTATTTTCTTTATTTTAAATTAAGTTACAGTTTTAGGAATTTTGTTTTGTGTTTTTGTCATTTGTATTATTATTATTATTTTTTTATTTTTTTTATATGTCCATGTAGTTTTAATATTTTTTTAATTGTAGTTATTTTAGTACATTGTGTCAAACTAAATTAAAATGAAAAATTTTGCCTTTGCAATTAGTGGAAATAATTTTTTATATATTTTATTTCTGCTAAATTTTATTGTATTTTCTGTTTTCATTAAAATTTTTAAGTTTTAGTTTTCTTCTGTTTTTATTTTATCATGTTTATTTGTTCTTTCATATGTTTAATATGTTTTGTTGTTGTTGTTGTTGTTTTTATATGTATTGTTTTTATTAATTTAACATTTGTTTTAGTTATAGTTATTTTAGTACATTAAGTTGGGAAATGAGAAATGTTGCCTTGGCAGTTATTTGAAATAAAATGTATTTATTATTATTATTTTTATTATTATTATTATTTTCAGTTAAAGCTTATTGTGTTTTCATTGCAATTTTAGTTAAGGTTTTAGTAATTTTGTTAAAATATAAACTGAAATATATTAAATATTAGTTTGTTTTGAATTCAAGTGTTTCATAATATGAAATTGTTCTTGCACAGATGTAATGTTTGCGACGCCCAGCATTTACATTCAAAAGTGTTTTTCCTCACTAGCCTCCACACTTGTGGGATGATGTTTAGATGTTAGATACTGGACCTGGACTGAGGGAATTGCTCCCATTAGAGTAAGAGTTCAGTAGAGGTTCAGGTCTGGGTTTAATGCAGGTCAGCCAAGTTCTTCCACACTAGACTACATGAATGTCACTCTGTATCATGCTGGAAGAGAAAAGGATCCTCCCTGAACTCTTGCCACAAAACTGGAAGCACACAGTGTCTCTAAAATGACATTTAATAGGGTTGCATTAAGATTCATTCACACTGGAAATAAGATGCCTTGTTAAACCTGGTAGAAACATGTTTTCCCCTTGTAGTGTAGTGTAGATTTAATTTGTAAAATATTGTATTATCCAAATTAGGATAATAAGCTTTTTTATGTTATATAAGTCAGAAGTCAGAAAGTATGAAAGAGCTTTATTGCCAAGTATGTTTACACACACACACACACACACACACTGTTCTTGTGCCTGGCTGTTCTGGTGGTTGGTGTTTTGTAGCACCAACCAGAGGGCAACAGTTTGAAGAGAGAGTGGGCTGGGTGTGCGGGGTCTAAAGTGATATTTTTAGCCCTTTTCCTCTCTCTGGAGGTGTAACGATCTTGGAGTTTGGGCAGGGGAGCATCAATGATCCTCTCAGCAGTCCTGACTGTCTGTTGTATTCTCTTGATGTCTGATTTGGTAGCTGAACTAAATCAGACAGTTATGGATGAACACAGAACTGACTCAATGATGGCCGAGTAGAACTGTGTGAGCAGTGTGTGCTGATCGTGAGAGTCTTGGATGTTAGTTTCCCCAGCCTCACTAGCTGCTGCCTGTCTGCCAGGAAGCTGGTGATCCATTGACAAATTGGGGTGGGTACAGAGAGCTGGGTCAGTTTGTCTGAGAGAAGGTCAGGCATGATGGTATTGAAGGCCGAACTGAAGTCTACAAACAAGATCCTTGCGTAAGTCCCAGGTCTATCAAGATGTTGCAGAATATAATGCAGTACCATATTGACTGCATCATCCACAGACCAGTTTGCTCTGTAGGCAAACTGAAGAGGATCCAGCAAGGGTCCAGTGATGTCCTTCAGATAGGCCAGGATCAGTCTCTCAAATGACTTCATGACTACAGATGTGAGAGCAAAGATTTCTTTGTCATCTGCTTTCTGAAGACCCGGCTCACGTCCTGTACACAGACCTTAAGCGCAGGTTGAATGGTGGGGGAGGGAGGGAGAGGGGTTGCGGGTGGTATTGTAGGTGTGAATTGCAGATCAGAGCGGGTGTGGGGTGAGAGACTGGGCTTTTCAAACTGGCAGTAAAACACATTCAGATCGTCAGCCAGTTGTTGATTCTCCACAGACTGTGGGGGTGGTGTCTTGTACTTCTCTCTCTCTCTCTCTCTCTCTCTCTCTCTCTGTGTATATGTATAGTATGTGAACTCACTCTGTGTGTGTGTGTGTCTGTGTGTGTGTCTGGCTTGTCCTCAGAGCTGCACGAGAAAGACTACGGTGGACAGAAAGCCATATACTGGGAGGTGAAATATCCATTACCTCTGTCCAACAGGGATGTATCCTACCAACACACTTCATGCACATAAAAATACAATTTGTGTGTGGGAATAGACAGATTAATGTGAAAATAACAATATTAATATAAAATAATATTTCTCCATTTATAATATTTAATTAAAATAAGTGTAATACATAAATATTTCCAAATAAATATATTTATTGGAAATAAATACTTTTATAAATTAAAATTATATCATAAATAATTATTATATTAAATAATTATTTTTGTTTCCATGTATGATAGAAACACAATACACAATATATTTTAACAATATAAAACAAATTGTGATTTCCATTTACAGTTTGTCAGATTTACTGTAATTGCATTTCAGTTGAATTTAAATTATTTCAAATAAACTTAAATCAACCTCAAATACAAAAATAATAAATAAATATACACAGTGGAGATCGAAATTAGAGAACAATCTATAAATACTAGATTTTTTTTCTGAAATATTGTTAATCTTCATCGCTCAAAATTTAAAGGAATATTAGTTGTAGGTATACCACTGTTAACATGTTTGGCAAAATAACCAAGGAATATCAACAAAAACCTTTATTGTGTGGAAAACAGTGATCAAAATTAGAGAACAGTAACCACTGTAGCACGAAAGAAGATTACATCTACAATTTTGGAGGGTTACAGCTGTCAGAAATTTAGTAGTAAGTGTAGCAGCGGTAACACTTTATTTCGATAGTCCACTTTAGACATTCTATTAACAGTAAGTAACTTTGCAACTACATGTCAACTAGCAGTTAGTAGAGTATTAGTAGACTGTCTGCTTAATATCTTCTAACACTTTCTTTGTCAACTTATTCTACTAACCCTAAACCTACCCTAACAGTCTACTCTGAGAGTTAGTAGACATGTAGTTGCAAATTAATGAGAATTAGTTGTAGTTACTTTGTAGTTACAAAGTTACTTATAGTTAGTAGAATGTCTAAAGTGGACTATCGAAATAAAGTGTAACCGTAGAGGCTCCTGCTTTGAATGACTTCAAAAGTGATCCGAATCTTTGAATGACCGCAGAATATCACTAGTTTCTCACACTGCACTGGTGTGATCTTGGTCCACTCTTCTTTCAGTCTCTTAGTTCTGTAACTGTACTGCCCTACAAAGGCAAAATACCTTAACTCGCTAGAGTGTAAAACTGAGAAAAATGACTTTAAAATTTTTTTTTTAAAGTCCTAGCAACCAATCAAAACCTTAACAACCACCCAGAATACCTTAGCAACTGCATAGCAATGCCCTAGCAATTTAACAATTAGATGTTTTAGTAATAAAAATTATCTACATTAAAAAATTGTGAGCGCAAACTTGATTTTTACCCCTATTTTGAAGTTAATGTACTCTGCCTTTGCATTGTCTGCAAAACGTGAGAAGTCACACCAAGGCAAAAGGCAGTAACTCACACATTATCAATATTTTTTTTTTACCGTAACAAGCAGACTAAAAGTTAAACATGTGAGTGGATATTTGCTATGCTTATTAACGTAAAAGAATGCTAGACACAGCATAATTGCTATGCAATTATTGCAATTAATTACTCAATTTGAGCGTTCCAAACAAAGTGAAAGAGCCGTAACTGGTGTTATACGGTGTTCTGCCTTGGTTTCTCCGGGGCTTTTCGAAGTTACGGTTGAGACGACCCATTATTTTCTCGGAAAAACAACAAAATTGACTCAAGATACTTATGCACATGATAAAGGATGTCTTGAATGTCCCAAAAATATCAATAACTCATTTTCGACAAAAATCGAATTTACGGTCTTTTGCCTTTGCACAGCAGTGTAGTGGTTTCTTAGTCCTAACTTTGTCGCCAATGATTTTCCAGAGATTTTCAATTGGGTTTAGTCAGGACTCTGGGCTGTCCATTTCATTATTTCAATGTTTTCAGCTGCTGTACCTGTTTTGCAGTGTGACAGGAGCATTTTCTTGCATTTGCATTCACCTGCCATGTAGCTGTACAAGAGGCCCAACTCCTGCTGCAGAAAACATTCCTCAAACCATGACACTTCCCCCTCCACCTTTCACTGACTTCTTTATGCACTCGGGCTTCAATCTTTCGTCAGTTTGACACCAAACATAATGTTTCCCATCTGACCCAAATAAATTAAACTTGCTCTCATCACTAAAGTGAACTTTTTACCTTTTTAGTTCTCCTCTCTTCACACAACATGCTCCTCAGCAAAGGTGAGTCTAGCCTTTTGATTCTTTCTGCTGATGAGAGGCTTGGTCGCTGCAAACTGCGCTTTCAGTCCGACTTCTCTTAAACAGAGCTTTATCCTATTCAGTGTTCAACTGGTGAGCAATTCCAGCTGCCGTGCTGAACCGATTCCCCAATGAGATTCTCAGCATTGTCCTGTCTTCTCGTGCATTTGTCTTATGTGGACGACCAGCCTTTTTGGGGGACTTGAATGAATTAGTGTCATTGTAAAGCTGCAATATTTGAGAAATCACAGATTTGGAACGACCAGCTTCTCTTGCAGTGGCTGAAAGTGTCACTCTCTTTGGCCTTCATCTGGACCGCCTCCTGTCACAGGCTTTCAGTCATCTTAAAGCGGCCCGCCATCTTGCAATCTCAGTGAAAATTAGAGGAATGTTTCCAGTTAATTAGGGTTTGTCATATAATTAAGGAAATTGGCACCAGGTGCCAGATTAACACCAATAACTGGGAGGTATCTGTAAGTGTTCTCTAATTTTGATCAGAGTTCTTTTTCAAATATCTTAAAGTTTTTTATACTGTGCTTCAGAATGCAATTAATTTATGAAATATGCCCTTCTGTTAGGATAACTTCAAATAGTACTAAGCAGTGACCTTGACATTTAGAAAATTGGTTGTTCTCTAATTTTGATCTCCACTGTATAAATACATACATTTATTGTGAAAAAATATTATTATACATTTTTATATGATTATAATTAGGATTATAAATTATATTCTAAATGAATATATAAGTATATATTATTATATTAATACAATATATTATATATATTTTGACAATAGAAAAACAAATTGTGTTTTCCATTTATAGTATGTCAGATGTACTGTAATTGAATCTCAGTTATTTGAAATATATTTTCAGTTTGAGCAATTATGACACATAAGCTTAAATCAACCTCAAATACAAAAGTAGAAATCATAACAGGTTTCGTTCTCTTTTGTCCCCATCAATATAGAGCAGTACCAAATCACAAATGTGTTTCTTGTAGTATTTCTTTATATTAATAATTATTAATATTCATAGTTGATAACCAAAATCAAAAGTAATCTCCTCTAGACTCCACTGTAAAAGTGTTGGTCTGCATTTGTCTGTCGGTGAGCCCTTAACTCTCTGCAGTATTTGTATGTGCGGGAGCGCCGGGATCTGGACGTGGGAGGACGTAAGATCTGGGTGGTTTTAGCCAAGAGCTGGTCCGTGCCTCAGTGTCCAGAGAAGAAAGGCGTGATCCGGGTCCAAGACTACAAACAGAGTCTGGCCATGGAGAGCGACGGCTCCGGCAGCACCAAAGGTACACTGTAAAAAAAAAATTCTGTAGTTTTTACAAAATAATTTTGGCAGCTATGGTTGCCAGAATAATTTTGTAAAAAATACAGAAAAACTGTAAACACATTTACGTCCAAAAACTGTAAATTTTACAGTATAAAACTGTAATTTACAAACAAGAAAATTTGAATGTAAACCAGTAAATTCAACAATGCACACTGCTATTAAAATCTGTTTTGTACCTTTAACATACTGACAACCGCCATAATAATGCAGGTGGTAAAAGAGAAAGCCACATGAAGAATCAAAGCTCATCACAAGTAGCTTCGCCACAAGCAGAAGTATATACTAATATATAGAAGGTGCACAGAGTCATTCATGCAAACACAAAACACCATCATGGTAACACACATGATACTTAAATAATGCATTAAACTTTCATTAAACAACAGAAGATGTAACATAACGCCCAACTATACATAACTAATAACAAAAACTTAAAAAAAAAACATGATTATTTAAACAAAATACCTTCAAATGTGGAGTGTCATGCAGGGAATTCTGGGAATATCAGTTTACAGTTTTTGACTGTAAATTATACATTGATTTGTTATTTTTACTTCTAAAAACTGTAAAATTAACAGCATTTTACTGTACAATTACATGAAATGTCTGGTTAGATATTTTACAGTTTTTCCCTGTATATAGTACAGGAACTTACTGTTAACCTATTAACCGTTTTTTTCCGTAGCGTTTTTACAAAATTTTACAGTTAAAATTACACTTATTTTTTACAGTGTACAAACTGAAGCACACTCAACCAGAGCTGATTTAGTGCATGATTTAGACTGTATAGTAATCAGATACAATGCGATAAAGTCACAATTCAATCTCATCGACCCGAAAATCCTGCTCCATTTGATTTATTTGTTTGGCGTTGTTTTGTTCAGCTTGTTCAGAGGTTTTCACCTACATTTGAGTGCAGTCACTTGTATTTTCTGGGCATACAAAAATATTTTGTGTTTCAATCAAATCTGTAATGATGATCATTTTTCATTTCATGCTGAAGCTGAATGAATAACAACAGCGTTTGTTTTGAATCATATTGCAGTGTTTATGAACTACTTTGACAATCCTGGAGGAATGATACCGACGTGGCTGGTGAACTGGTCAGCGAAGGTGAGGATGCTGTAGAGTTATGCCACAGTCATGTGATCAGTGATGAGTCGAGTGTGTTGATGGATGTGTTTTGCTCTCAGACGGGCGTCCCTGCCTTTCTCACCGACATGAAGAAGGCCTGCAGTAACTACAGCAGCTACTGCAAGAACAACAAGTGATGCGCGTGTGAGCGTCCTCACCTTCTCTGCTTCTGTTTCCTGTCAGGAGGGCATTCTGGGTAGACTTACTGCTGTTTCTATGGTCATTGGAGAAAATGTGTCTGGAGTCCTTCATTATTGTTTTTTTTATTATTATCTTAACTATACAAACGTCGGTTAAAGAATCAAATTAATCCAGCTTCCTGTTGAACTTTAGCTGGAAGTTAGGGCTAATTTGAGTTTGGAACATTTGTTTTAAAGTAATATAGTTTCATCATAGCACTTTAATTATGTCATTTGTGAATGTATGAAAACATGAATTAACCTCTTTTATGTTGTATGCACAAAATCAATCAATAAGCCTTCCTGAAGTCTCTTCTGCTCACCAAGGTTGCATTTATTTGATCACAAATACAGTAAAAACAGTAAAATTGTGAAATATTACAATGTAAAATATTATTCTATGTGAATATTTTATAAAATGTAATTTATTCCTGTGAAGCAAAGCTGAATTTTCAGCATCATTACTCCAGTCTTCAGCATGTCATGATCCTTCAGAAATCATTCTAATAATTATTATCAATTATTAATGGTGCTCAGTTGTTAATGGCTGAAAATGGTTTTTGCTGCCTAATATTTTTGTGGCTACATTTTTTCAGTTTTTTTTTTATTAATCGAACGTTCGAAAGAGCAGCATTTATTTAAAATCTTAATCTTTTGTAAAAAAATTTTTTATTTATGGTCAATTTGATCAATTTAATGCGTCCTTGCTTAAAAATAAAACTTTTGAATTGTCCAGTATCCACAAAAATATGAAACGGCACAACTGTTTTCAGCAATTGATAACAATGATAATAATAAATGTTAGCATATTAGAGCATATTAGAATGATTTCTGAAGGATCATGTGACACTGATGACTGGAGTAATGATGCTGAAAATTCAGCTTTGATCACAGAAATAAATTACATTTTACAATATTGTCACATAGAAAACACTTATTTTTAATTCTAATAGTATTTCACAATTTTTACTGTATTTTAGATCAAATAAATGCAGCCTTGGTGAGCAGAAGAGACATTTATAAAATAGAAAGAATTAAGTGTCCAAGTAAGCAAGAGGGCCGCACAGTATGTGATCCGAATCGTTATATAATAGCTCTGTTATAGTTTTGTTCCTCACCTCCAACAACTGAACACAATCATGCACGTACTGTATATATTACAAGACATTTTAGCATGTACTGGTGCTGAATGAGTCCCTGCTCCTTCCCATGAGCCTCTGCAGATTGGGCGAGATGGATTGTAGTGATCCAGCGCCCTCTGCAGGCGAATGGACGGGGACACTGAAGTTCACTCTGATTTTATTTTAATGGTCGAATCCGTTTTTACCTGTTAATGTAACTTGCTGTATATTGGGGAATGTAATTATATTTCTGATACTTTTCAGATACCTTTAAACAGAAATGACTATCAGGATCCTGCATAAATCACATGTATGGCAATTATTAGAAAACAGAAATATACTGTATGTATGAGCATATGCATGGACAATATTATGCCTGTATTCACGTCTGAAATCAAAATTGTGTGCCGTTTACTGGTTAATGCTGAGCACAGAAAAATTTGGTTGTTAAAGGGGTCATATGATGCTGCTAAAAAGAACATTATTTTGTGTATTTGGTGTAATGAAATGTGTTTATGCGGTTTAAAGTTCAAAAAACACATTCTTTTCCACATACTGTACATTATTGTTTCTCCTCTATGCCCCGCCTTTCTGAAACGCGGAAAGGAAAAATTGAAATTGCATCATATGACCCCTTTAAAATATAATTTTGATATGAAAAAATCTGTCTTATAATTATAATCAAGACTATTAAATGTCAGATTTCTGCAGTTCAAATATGCAAAATGAAACTTTACATGGGACTGCATGAATCTGAATGTTGTGGTGAATGAATGATATGTTTGATACTCTAACAGCAATTTAAAAAACACTTTGCTGCAATAAAGTTAATATCTGCTGGTGTTTTTTTTTTTAGTAGGAAATGGAGATTATATTCATAGGAAGTGAAGTGACATTGCCTTTGACTCCGTTTTGACACTCCGTGGTTTCATTGTCTTTTGGTGTATTGTTTTCCTCTGGTTCTGTTGTTTTTTTTACATCTACCTCTTAAACTCACAGTGCTGAAAATGGAAAAATGTTGCCTGTACATTCTTCCTCCACCTGTTTATTATTGCAAACGTTTTATTGCAATAAACTGCTGTTGCCTTTGAATGCAGTTCAATAATTATTATTTTTTATTAGTTTAAGAATTGTTTAAAAAAATGCACGTAAATGTTTATATAACAAAATGATAATGGATTTGAGTTCAAACGTTGAATATTCATTCTGTACAATATTTTCTAGCCTAAACTGAATGTAGTTGTGGCGGTAACACTTTATTTTAAGGTGTCCTTGTTACACATGTTATATGTACTTACTATTATAATAACAATTAATTATGCATAATTACATGCAAGTAACCCTAAGCCAAACCAAATCCTTACCCTAACCATATAATAAGTACATGTAGTATTAGTACATCAAGTTAAATTAAAATGAGAAATGTGGCAACTAGCTGAAATATTTTTTTTTTTCATTAGTACATTATTAGGGTTTCTTGGGTATATTTATATGGTAAATCAGTTTACCATACCGGACATTATTTTCATGATTGTCAAGCACATTTATCTTCCAAATTCTTATTACTGTAATTTTGCAGGATATTTCATTTTTGAATTTGTTAATATATATATTTTTTTATTATTTTCAAAGGTGATTCTCATTAATATTACTATTATTCTTTTTTAATTATCAGAAATAACAGCGACATAAATTCTATATTATTTAAATACTATAGATAAATAGATCTACAAAACTCCTTAGCAACTGCATAATGCCATAGCAACCAGCCAAATCACCTTAGCAACCACCCAGAACACCTTAGCAACTGCAAAGCAATGCCCTAGCAAGCAAACACCTTAGCAAACATCCAGATACCTTAGCAACTGTATAGCAATGCCTAGCATCCAGTCAAAACACCTTAGCAACTGCCTAGCAATGTCCTAGCAACCAATCAAAACCTTAACAACCACCCAGAATACCTTAGCAACTGCATAGCAATGCCCTAGCAACCAGTCAAAATACTTTAGCAACAGCCCATAATATATTAATGTAATTTATTTTTCACTTTGTGCTGTCATGAAAATAATGTCAAAACTCTAAAAATAGATTTCATTAATGTAAAATATAATTTCTTATTTTTTCATTTTATTCTGGGGTTACATGTAACCTTGACAGGCTTTGTGAGATCAACCCTTGTGTGTGTTTTTGTTGGCCGAGCTCTTAATGCATGTGAGTCCATTAGAGCTGGAGGAAACAATGAACCTGAAGATCAAAATGAGATTGAAGGTCTATATTTGTCCCACATCTGATCCCTGAAATGGCCCTCTTGAATAACATCAGGCACTCCACCGCTTCTTTCCACTGGCTGTCCTTCACCAATGCAAGGCAAATATATTTCTTGGCCAGCTGTTGTATTTCTTCTGATTGGTCATATACAGGACTAATTAGCTTTAGAAAGCGATACACTTTTCCTGGTCTGTCTGAAAACCTCCTCCGATTTCCCAGGTGCCCGTCTGTCTGAACAGACGCTCCGCTCGGAAACCTTCCCATCTGCAGCTTTTGTGATTCTTAATAGAGTACAGTTAGAGATAGAGGGGCCTCTGGGAACAGGCATCCTTGATCCTGAATAGGCTTTTATGGGGTTTTTCTACAGCGTCATGTGCATGCAGTGAGTTTTGATGGAGGTTATAATTGCAGACGTTACCTGGCGCTGCGTCTGGCCCCTCTATCTGCAGCCAAGAAGCCCCTGAACTCAAGGTTAGGTAATTATTTTCATAAGCATATGCTTTGCATTGTTGAAATCTTAACCGCTCTGGCGTCGAGGAAAGTCCAGGATCTGGTGCCAGTTTAAAGGAGTCCAAACAAAGTGTTTCTGCAGGTAACTCATTTGCGTCTCCGTCTGGATTTGTGCTGGATTTATGAGAGAAAACATACTGGAGTTGTTCATATACTACTATATACAATATAT